TAAAATCCTTTCTGTAAGCTTGGCTACAATGCAAAAGGGCTCATTTTCACATTTAACTGGTATACATTTTACATAATGAGGACTGATTAGTGAATCATGATGCAGAAAGTTCTAAAGCATGATAGACAGAGAATCTGAAATGTCTCATTTTTTTCCTTGCCTTTATTTTCTTTAATTATGAATTTGGATGGAAGAGCACAATGTTTATGTGACATTTGTAATGATAAAAAGTGTACCTTTTTGCTTGGAAGTCTAAAAGATCATCTTCCAACCAGACTGCTTAGCATAGTTCATTATTTCATTATAGTAAAATATTTTTAGGGTTCTCCTAATTAGTGCCACTAAATTATATATTGACTAGTACAAACTAGTCTGAAAACATTTTTTCTCTGTTATCAAAGCAGCCAGAAAGGAAATTTATATTGTACTTGTGCAATACAGATGACATGGTGGATAATACCATTTCCTATGAGGTCAGGTTTCGATGATTTGTTCTGTGTTAAAATATAGTATGCTTAGGCAAACATTCCAGATAAGGCAGTGCTTGTTTTACCACAGATAATAAAAAGGAAAAGGTCTAAGGGAACTTTCTGGAAACCATCAAAGTAATAATAACAAAACTATAGGGTGGTGCCTGTGGCTCAAGGAGTAGGGCCCTAGCCCCATATACCAGGGGGTGGCGGGTTCAAGCCCAGCCCTGGCCAAAAATGCAAACCCCCTCAACCCAAAAAACTATAATAGCAAACATGTATATGGTATTGACTTTGTGCCAGGTACTGTTCCAAGGATTTTGCATATATTAACTGATTTGAATTTTACAGCAAATTTGTGAAATTGAAAAACTATTATTATTTTTTTTTTTGAGACAGAGCCTCAAGCTGTCCACCTGGGTAGAGAGCTGTAGCATCATAGCTCACAGCAACCTCCAACTCCTGGGCTTAAGTGAGTCTCCTGCCTCAGCCTCCCAAGTAGCTGGGACCAAAGGCACCCGCTGCAACGCCCAGCTATCCTTTGCTTGCAGCCATCCTTGTTGTTTGGTGGGCCTGGGCTGGATTTGAACCCACCACCTTTAGGTGTATGTGGCTGGCGCCTTAGCCGCTTGAGCCATAGGGGCGGAGCCGGGATGGAGACTCTAATTTCTCCTTCTGCCTGAACTTTTGCCATTTTGCCTTCTCCTCTACCCACACACATATACTTCAATGCAGTCATGCCAAATCACTTGATAGTAGTTTTATTTTTTAATTAATTAATTAATTTTTTTTTGAGACAGGGTCTCATTTTGTCACCCTCAGTAGAGCACTATGACATCATAGCTCAGAGTAACCTTAAACTCTTAGAATCAAGTGATTCTCTTGTCTCAGCCTCCGGAGTAGCTGGGACTACAGGCATCCAGCACAACACCTGGCTATTTTTAGAGATGGAGTCCTGTTTTTCCTCAGGCTAGTCTGGAACCTGTGAGCTCAGGCAATCCAGCCACTTGGCCTCCCAGACTGCTAGGATTACAAGAGCCACCGAGCCCAGTCCTTGATAATAGTTTTATACAACCAACTTCTCTTTTTTTTTTGAGACAGAGTCTCACTATGTTGCTCTTGGTAGAGTGCTGTGGCATCACAGCTCACAGCAACCTCAAACTCTTGGGCTTAAATGATTCTTTTGCTTCAGCCTCCCAAGTAGCTGGGACTACCAGCACCTAGCACAATGCCCAGCTATTTTTTGGTTGCAGTTGTCATTGTTGTTTAGCTGACCCAGCTGGGTTAGAACCCTCCAGCCTCCGTGTCTGGCTGACACCGTAAGCACTGTGCTATGGGGGCTGAGCCTATCCAACTCCTTTGAACAAATTGTGATATTATCCACATAACATAAAATGTACTATTGGTGATATTTAGTACATTCACCATGGTGTGCACCTGTCACCACTAGCTAGCTCCAGAACAGCTTCATCACTGAAAAGCAAACCCCATGCCCCTGTCCTCCAGTTCCCTCTGGCTACTACTCAGCTGTTTTCTGTCTTTATAGATTTGACAGTTCTGGATATTTCATAGGTATGACATCAAATAATGCATGTTTTTTAAATGTCTGGTTTCTTTCACTTAGCATAAAATTTTCAAGACCTACTCGGTAGGGTGGCTCTCAGATATAATCTTAGCACTTTGGGAGGCTGAGGAAGGAGGATCACTTAAGACCATGAGTCTGAAGTTGCTGTGAGCTTGATGTTGCTGCTCCACTCTAGCCTGGCAACAGATCTGGTAAGACCTTGTTTCTAAAAAAAAAGGCTTGCTACCCGTGGCGCACGGTGGTTACAGCGCTAGCCACATACACTGAGGCTGGCAGGTTTGAACCCGGCCTGGCCTTGCTAAACAACAATGACAATTGCAACAACAACAAAAAGAAAAATAGCCAGGTATTGAGGCGGGCACTTATTGTCCCAGCTACTTGGGAGGCTGAGGCAAGAGAATTGCTTAAACTCAAAAGTTTGAGGTTGCTGTGAACTGTGATGTCACAGCACTCTACCAAGGGTGACATCATGAGACTCTGTCTCAAAAAAAAAATAGATTTTTCAGATTCATCTGTTATAATATGAATAATTTTTCTCTTCTGGAAAAGACAATATTCTAGGGTCAGATGCTTGGGTCTGAAATCTGATGCTGCATTTACCAGACGTACAAGGTCCATGAAGTTCTTGAGCTCATCCTAGAAAAAGTGCTGCATACCTCCCTGCTGAATATCACTCCAGTCACCTCCAAAGCACTCCCTTGGGAAGGCATGCATCGATACCAAGGCCTAGTCCCCCCTTCACAGCAATTGTGGAGCTTGTTTTCTGAAATGACCATCAGAGCTGTTGTCATATAGGTACACAAAAATACACGAAAACAATAATGAACACCACTCAGCAAGACCACACCTCGATATAAACACAGCTGTGAGACACTGACATGCCAAGGTTACGGGAGAGATGTTTGTACACTGCCACCAACATGAGCACATGGTGGCAAGTTTGGGAACTTAATTTTCTACCCTTCATACGATGACAGCTCTGATTGCCATTCCAGGAAAAGATTCCAAAATTGCTTTGGAGGGTGGATTAGGTACTGCCATTGGGAGCACCTAGCTTCGCAAGGCGAGCACTTTGAAGATGATTATAGTGATATGTAGCAATGAGGCTTGGAGCATTTTTTCTAGGATGAGTTTGCAAACTTAATTGTCACAGCTCAGTGACCTCAATCAAGGTATTTAACTTCTGTGTGCTACAGTTTCCTTGTCTGTAACACATTGTGATGGTAATTGCATTGCCAGGTTATTAGGGTCAGCTGAAGATTGTATGAGTTACTATGTGTAAAGATAGTACCCGGCTCAGAGAAGGCAGTTAAGTGTTAACTATTATTTCCTCTTCCTTTCACTTCCCGGGATAGCTCCTGCTCAGACTCTGGGTTTCAGTTTTGATATTTTCCCTAGGAATATTCCCTTATCCAACACCCTAACCTCCCCTCCCCACTCACAGAGTTAAGGTAGACGTCCTTCCTATTTACCTTCTAAGTTTATCACTTTTGTGGCCCTTAAAAGATTGCAGTCTCTTCTCATTTTGTACTTTTGTTTCTTAACATCTCAGGGAAAACCTAGCCTAATAAATAAGTGAATGTCAATCAGTGAGCTTCTTTTTCCTTCTAAAATGGTTGACTTTTTCTAGACCAGCGGTTCTCAACCTTTGGGTCACCACCTCACAGGGGTCGCCTAAAACCGTCACATACATTCCGTACAAGTACAGGTGTACGAAAATAATTTTATGGTTGGGGGTCACCACAACATGAGGAACTGTATTAAAGGGTCACGGCATTAGGAAGGTTGAGAACCACTGTTCTAGATAACGATGTGCTTTAAATACTGACTACAAGATCCACTTGTGTGGGAAAATGTCAGACAAAATTGTTAGCAAACTCGTCTGCGCCTGTGGCTCAGTGAGTAGGGTGCCAGCCCCATACATCAAGGGTGCTGGGTTTGAACCTGACCCCAGCCAAATTACAACAAAAAAAATAGCTGGGCATCGTAGTGGGTGCTTGTAGTCCCAGCTACTTGGGAGGCTGAGGCAAGAGATTCACCTAAGCCCAGGAGCTGGAGGTTGCTGTGAGCTGTGACGCAATGGCACTCTACTGAGGGCAATAAAATGAAACTCTGTCTCTTAAAAAAAAAATTGTTAACAAACTAAACACTTGATGTAGATTATGTACGTCCAGAAAATAAGGCCATGAAATACTTATTTGAGAAGGGCCCTGAAGATATTAAATACCTAAATGTTCTGAGACTAGAACTACAAAGATAATTCCAAGGTTACAATCATTATTCGTGGCTGAGTGAAGGGATATGTATGAAAGAAGCGGGAAGAAAGAAAGTTTTTCTGTTATTGAAAAACGACTTTTAAGCTTTATATATAACATTGCTTTTGATTAGGTGGGTAGGGATATCTATTGCATGACATAAAGTATGGAGACTTCACAATAATACTTACTAGAGAAAGGGACTGCTAGTGCAAGGAACAGTTAATAAAGATAGCACATTTAGGATTTGTAAAATGTGAATATAAGGCTGTGTGTGGTGGCTCACACCTGTAATCCATCTGAGGTGGGTGGATTGCTTGAGCTCATGAGTTTGAGACCAACCTGAGCAAAATTGAGATTCCTATCTCTACTATAAATAGAAAAAACTGAGGCAAGAGGAGTGCCTGTGGCTCAGAGGAATAGGGCGCTGGCCCCATATGCCAGAGGTGGTGGGTTCAAACCCAGCCCTGGCCAAAAACTGCAAAAAAAAAAAAAGGGGAAAAAAAAAATTACAGCATGAAGAGGAAATGCCATAGCAGAGACCTACCAGGAACGAGCTATATCTGGAATAAATGACTTCGCTTTCCATCACCTACTATGTTGTCTCAGGTTTCTTCCAATTTCCATTTGAGAAAATGGGTTTGTTGACACACC